GTGTTACTGAGCATAGAGGTGCATGCCTTTAACTCTAGCACTAGGGAGTTAGACGCAGGCAGATCTATGTGAGTCTGAAGCCAGCCTGGCCTATGTAGTAAGTTCCAGGCCAGCTAGGGGTACATAGTAAGACCCTGTCTTAACAAGTAAACAAATAACAAAACCAAACCCAAATGTTTTCACTAAGGAAGATGGGAGATTTCTCCATTTAGATCTTCTCTTTCTGTCTTTTGTCTTTTTATATAGCTTCAAATACACTATATGATCACCCATAAATATTCAACTAGAAATTTTGTGTAATGGTAACCAACTGCCTGAATAACAGGATCCTCATGTTGCTCTGTTTTATTGGTGGTACTGTTAAATACAGTCTTTGTTATCTGCTCCTAACAAGTACAGTTTACAAGGTTTACTAAAAACATTTAGAATGTTTTTATTCTAGAATAGATATTTTATTCTATAATACATATTTTACAGCAGAGTGGTTGTGAGGATACCATGTAGACCACAGGCCAAAGGCATTTTTCCACCTTTCCTGATAAAGTGAACCGTTCTCCAGGATGGCTGAAGTATTGTAGAAGTGGTCTGTCTACTCATTGAAGTTTTACAGCAAGCTTCTTAATCAAAGATGGCCTATGAACCATCTCTAGCTAACATACATCCTGATTGCCATAATCTTGAGCATTTTCCACCCTCCAACGTCTGCCTGATTATTTATTATTTCACATTCCTATCTTCCCACGAGGCAGAAAATTACCCCTGAAAAATCATCCATTTCATTCAGATTTTCATGTAGTTATTATAATCCTGTATAAAATCTATGATTTTTGAAAGTTTCTAGATGTCATTATAAATCAACTTTCATACTTTTAAAGATGTTTTAAATATTATGTGTATGTATGCATATTTGTGTATGTGTATGTGTGCCACGTGAGTGCAAGTACCCAGAGGCTGCATGAGGGCACTGGATCCCCTGGAGGTGGAGTTGTGAGTCCCCTGATATAGTTCCTGGGAACTGAATTCAGGTCCTCTGCAAGAGCAACAAGCACTCTTACTTAACCCCTGAGTCATCTTGTGAGTCCCAACTTTTATATATTAAAAAAAAATTTATGTGTATGAGTGTATTGCCTGCATGTATGTAAGGGCACCCATGTTGTGCAATGTCTCAGGAGGTCATAAGAAGACAACAGATCCCCTGGAAATGGAGCTATGGATCATTGTTAGTTGCCTGTAGGTTCTGGGAACTGAACCCAATTCCTCTGCAAGAACAGTCAGTGCTCTTAACCACTGAGCCATCTCTTCAGCCCCCCAACTTTTATACTTTTAATGCTGCATGTTTGTGTTTGCTTTCTTTTCTCTGTGAGACTAGTTAGCAATTTGTCTGTTTGGTCTTTGCACAGAACCAGGTCTAAGCCTTAGTTATCAAATGTAGTTTTAAAAGTTGCTACTTTGTCTAGGTGTGGTGACACACACCTTTAATTCCAGCACTTGGGAGGCAGAGGCAGGTGGATCTCTGTAAATTAGAGACCAGTCTGGTCTACACAGTGAGTCCCAAGCCAGCCTGGTCTATGCAGTGAGTTTCAGGTCAGCCTGGTCTACACAGTGAGTCCCAGGCCAACCAGGGCTGCATAATGAGATCCTGTGACAAAACAAACAAGCAGACATTTTAAATTATGTGTACATTTAAATGCTAGGTAGCATGTTAATTTCTCCTTTTGTTTACAAATTCCTAATAGATGGCTTGGGCTTTCATTGCCATTACTACATTTACCAACTCTTCTGGCATGCACTGAAATGACGAGGAAGGCACAAATGGAACTATCTTCTCCTCTCTACTCCCCATGTCAATCTCCTATCCCAAGCTGACCATGAATAACAACAATACCAAATGTCCAACATTTTCTGAATTCTTACATGTTATACATTTTCAGTTCATTGTTTTGTTTTGTTTTCTAATACTATGGTTTGACACAATGACTCTTACTTTATAGACTGGAGAACAAAGGAAGGCAGCTGAGTAACTCATGTGGAGTCTCCAGATCAGGCCATGTGGCCAGCTACACCCTCCCAAAGCTCCTGTGTCCTACTCTGCTCTATGGACCCACTGCACCATGCTGTGCTCCGTGACTTTCTAGTTCTGTCTTCCAAGTCTGCTGTTGTTTTAATGTTGGTCCCTCTGAGATCCATGGATGAAAACCCAATTCCCAATGTTGCTGTATTAGCAGTAGGGCCAGTAAGAGGTAATTAAGTCATGAGGGTGGAGCCCTCATGTGGATTAGTGCCCTTACAGAAATGCTCAAGTTGAAGGAGATCACCTTCTGTACTTTTACCTTGGGCCTCCCAGCCTGCAGGACTGTGAGAAAATTCTTATCTGGTCTCTATAAATTACCCAGACTCAGTATTGTGTTATAGCAACAAATATGGTGAACCCCTTTGGCTTCTAGATCTTCCTAGCACATGAAGCAGAGCCTCACAAATCTAGAGACCTATAACATGTGGCCCTCTCCTGTGCTCCATAAAGACTGTGTATGGTCAAGTGGTTAAGGTCAAAAGTCCCTGGCTCCTGCACTGCCCTGCTTCTCATGAGCTATGCCAGCTCAGGCCAGCTCCTCTCTGAACTTTCCCCTGGGCTCTCCTGAAGATTACCCATGGGCCATGGGAAACACATGGGCCTGCAAATGGCCAAGTAGGAGTCAGCTTAGAGAGTGCAGAATTCAGTGCTCTCTCCAACACCAGAGCCTGATGCAGCCCAGTGAAGAGCTGTCAGAACTGGTGGTGTATGTGTGTGTGCGGGGGTGGGTGTCTTGGGGGACACAGCCCATAGATCACTAGGGCTAACTCACCAATATTCTTCTCAATCTCCAAGACAAAGTACTTCTCTGGATTGCTGCAGCTAAAGGTAATGGACTTTCTTTCTCCAGGTTTGACGAGCAACTCGATCACATGCTGTCTAGCCATGATGATGTAGCAGGAGGGCTTCGAGGGCAAGCCTGGGCTGGCCAGCCTGATGCGCACAGTAATGCCGCTTCCCTGGGGTAGAGCAATCTCAGATGCCTCTGAAAGAAGGAGCAAAAATGACCTGAGCAAGAGGGAAGGTCTGCAGACCTACAGGGGTCCTCTGGAAGTAGTGTCGGGGTGCACCACTGCCCGCCCTTCCCTCCTGGCCTGTGAAGTGGCAGAGCTGACCTTCCCAATGGCAAAGAGCCAGGACCTGATGCCTGGGCAGGGACACTGCCTCTCATTTGGATTGACATTTCTAAAAATTGAAACCACTCTACCACACCCCTGATCTCTTGTGCAGCATGTGTTCAGATACTTATTTATGCAGCATTAATGACAAGCAGAGACACTGCCTGCCCCTTCTTGCTGTGACTGTAGGACAAAGTCTACAGCAGCCATCTGTCTACTGAGACATGCTTATGTGAAAAAAGCTGCTGTTTTCTGGCTCAGATCCTTTACAGCCCGAGAATATACATTTGTCCCACAGGAGACAGAAGGACATTTGCTGAAATTAGAGATAAACATACTGGCTCGACCTGGTGGTATGGGCCTGTAATCTCAGCTACTCAGGAGGCTGAAGCAGAAGGATCACAAGTTCAAAGTTTGTCTGGCAACAAAGTGAGTTCAAGGCCAGCCTGGCAACTTAGTGAGACCCTGTCTAAAATAAATAAGGGGCTGGAGAGATGGCTCAGCAGTTAAGAGCACTGGTTGCTCTTACAGAGGACCCAGGTTTGATTCCTAGCACCCACATGGAGACTAACAACTGTTCCTAACTCCAGTTCCAGGGGAATCTGACACTCTCTTCTGACCTCTATAGGCATTGCACAACACAGATGCACTTACATATGTGCAGGTAATACACTCATACACATAATTTTTTTAAAGTATAAAGTAAGTAAAAAGACAGGAATGTAGCTCAATAGTAGAACACTTGCTTAGCATATATAAGGGTCTGGTCTAGAACACTGGCACTAAACACAAATACATACACACGCATGCACGCACGCATGCGTGCGTGTGATGAACTTGGAACTTAGAGGAAAACAATAATGTCTTGGACTGGGGTCAGCCAAAATACTTCAGCAAGCCCATGAGGTAGTGAGTAGGGCCCTTCCTCAGCAGAGGTGCACCAGCAGTGTACTCTCCCTTCTCAGAGCTTTGCTTGGCTTTATCAATTTCCAAGTGCTCTCAGGTCAGAGGGAAAAGCTCCTCAGTCCCCGGCAGCCACTGTCTTAGGAAAAGGAATTCTGGCATATCTGTTGTTGTTCTGTGTGACTTCAATTAGTCCCCGTGCCATACTGGTTTTTGTTTCATTTTGTTTTTTTTGAGGCAGGGTTTCACTGTGTAACCCTGGCTGGCCTAGAACTTTCTACGTAGACCAAGATGGTCTTGAATTCGAGAGATCTGCCTGCCTCTGCCACCCAAGTGCTGGGATGAAAGGTGTATACAACCATGCCCCCTGGCCCTTTGTTTTTAAAAACAAAATCAGACTCACAATGTAGCCCAGCCTGTCCTGCAACTCATTGCAATCATCCTGCTTCAGCCTTTTGAGAGCTGAGGTTATAGGCATGAACCATACCTGCCTTTTTTGTTCCCTCAAGAACTCTCAGAGAGCTGGGCATGGTGGTGACACTTTTAATATCAGCACTAGGGAGGTAGATCTGTGTGACATTGAGGCTAGCCTGGTCTACATAGTGAGTTCCATGCTAGCTGGGGCTACAGGGAGACCCTATCTCAAAAGAAAAACCCTCAGAGAAATTAAGATTTATTTATTTTTATGTGTGTACCACATGCATGCAGTGCCCACAGAGGCCAGAAGAGGGCGATAGATCCCCTGGAATTACTGGAGGTTGTGAGCCACCATGTAGGTACTGGGAACTCAGTCTGTATCCTGAGAGGGAATTGCTGAGCCATTACTCCAGCCTATTTTTTAAAATATAATGTTTTGAGACAAGGTCTCACACTATGTAACCCAGGCTAGCCTCAAACTCACAGAAATCCCTCCTGCCTCTGCCTCCAAAGTGCTGTGATTAGAAGCATGTATCCAGTCCCATCCATAGGGCTACACACTGAGCAGTACTGTGTTGTCTGATTAGACCCTGAATTATTATCTCTGCCTTGGGTAAGTGACACTTGAGTCCTTCCAGGTTTTGACCACCCAGGCTCTGTGATGTTGGCAGCACTGGCAGTGGCTCTCGTGCTGCAGGCCATGAATGGGCATACTGTGTGCACATGGCTAGGTGGTCACCGTGAGTGAACACTGGGTTGATGTTATCCTCTTCCTATACCTCCTCCCTCACACACTCATCCACCCATTATGTGGATGGATACCCGCCTCTTCCTAAGATATGGACTGTGAATATTTCTACTTATTATTTGCTTTTGACCTCATCCACGATATTTTTCAGGTTAAGAACTTTGCCCTTCTTGGACCTCTGTTGTTTCACTTGGAAAATGAGGGGGCTGGGCTGGAGTAACGCTCACTGCCCGCCAACTCTGAGTCTAGGATCAGCACCTGTAGGAGTGACTCTGCGAGTTCAGTGACATACTATCTCTCACAGGGCCAGGGTACACACGCAGTGGGCTCAAGATCTTGCTTCCAAGAGGTCTTAAGTTTCTGTAGCCCCAGCTGGTCTGGATTTCACTATGTAGACCAGGCTGGCCTTGATCTCACAGAGATCCACCTGCCTCTGACTCCCAAGTGCTGTGATTAAAGGTGTGTGGCCACCACACTTGGTCTTAGGTTTTCGTTTTTGCAGCAAAATTTCTTTCCTTCAACCCCTTTCTAATTCTCTCTCCTCTCTCTCTCTTTCTCTCTTCCCCCCTTGCCTTCTTGAATGTACTCTTTCCACCTCAGGGCTTTGCATACACTCCTTCTTGTGTCGAAAATGCTCCAGTCTCAGCTCAAAGTCCCTGTTGAAGTTTGAATGTGAAATGTCCCCCAAAGATTCATGTGTTTGAACACTTGGTCCCCAGCAGGTGATGCTGTTTTGGAAGGTTGTAGAACCTTTAGGAGATGGAGGGTGTGTGTGTGTGTGTGTGTGTGTGTGTGTGTGTGTGTGTGTGTGTAGAGGAGTGTTTTGCCTGCATTTATTAAAGGCACATATGTGTGGAGGGCGCAGGGGGGAGAGAAGAGGGGATTGTGTGTGTGTGTATAGGAGTGTTTTGCCTGCATCTATTAATGGCACATATGTGTGCAGTGCCCATGGAGGCAAGAAGAGGGCATTGGATTTGATTAGAGGCCCTGGAGCTAGAGTTACAAATGGTTGTTAGCTGCCATATGGGTGCTGGGAACTGAACCCCAGTCCTTTGCAAGAGCAGTTAGTGCTCTTAACCGCTGAGCTATTTCTCCAGTCCCAGGAGGTGGAGTCTTATTGGAGGAAATAGGTCACTAGAGGCAGGTCCCAGTTCCTGTCCACTCTCTGCTTCCTGACTGTGGATGCAAGGTGACCAGCTGCCTCATGCTCCTGCTGCTGTAAACCCTCCCTCAAGATATTTCATGTCAGGTATGTGGTCACAGCAATGAGAAAAGTAACTATAGAGTCCCCTTCACAGAACACCAACCCACCAAAGTGTCCCCCCTGCCCCCCAGCCTCCAACTATCCTGGGCTTTGCTCCTCAGGCTCTAGTCTCTGCCTCAGGGCATCCTGCCATTTGCCCACGGTTCCCTCCTCCCACAGTCAGCATGCAGACTCCCACCGGAGGATGGCAGGAACTTACCCATCTTGCTGAGCAGCAGCTTTGGGACCCACTCAGCATGCAGACTCCCACCGGAGGATGGCAGGAACTTACCCATCTTGCTGAGCAGCAGCTTTGGGACCCACCTGCGCCAGGTGCCCACATAGACCCAGAAAAGCTCAAGCTCCCAATTATGAAAGAACAGTCTCCATGGCCCTGTCACTGCATTTAATTGCTCACAGACATACAACTGTTCCTATACTTCAGTGTGGACTAATAAGTCTTCCCTGGAGGTAATCAGGGGTGACAGTGTTTTGACAGAGAGAGAGAGAGAGAGAGAGAGAGAGAGAGAGAGAGAGAGAATGTTCTCTGAGGTAGAAGTACATTTTCTCAAATGCTTCGTTCTTGAGCAGTGTGACATTTAAACCTTCTGAGACAGACTCAGAAGCCAAGAATTCCTTAAGACATCAGATTAAGAACGAATTTATTTGTACCTAAGCTGTATACCACAACCCTTGTGTTCTGTTTTTGTAGTCATAAAAATATCTTCACATACCGACTGTAAAAGGTTCTTGGAGTACCCTCTCCCTGAAAGCTTGGCCTGCCTCCAACCTGGGCACCCAGTTGGGCTAACTGATTGTCAGGAGCAGAGGCATTGGTTCTGATACCACCAATCCCCTTCACTCTTGTTTCTCCTGGGCTTTTTGTTTTGTTTTAACCCTTTGGCCAAATCATTATTTTTAAATTATCATTGTTAATTAGTACCGTTTTAATTGTTAGATACAAGGCAGATAGATACTTTAATAAACAAAAATCAGAAGTGTTCAAAAGATTGTCTACTGCAGAGTAAACCACAAACACGGCTAAAATATGCCTTAATACTTTGTAATACTTAATACTTTCATCTTTGAAAATGTGTAAACTTTTCAAAACTCTAAACTTGATTCCGAAGACCAAAGCTGAGCTCACTAAAACTTTCCTCTCAGTTGTTTCTGTTTTTAGCCATGTTGGTACCCAGAATAATTTTAGCTATGACAGGTCACTCTATGATTAACAATACCCGAAGAAAAACATATGATGTCTTTTAGAAATCCATGCTTTTTAGAATCAGATAATCATTCAACAAACATTTTCCTAGTTCATAATATATTCTAAGGATCACACTTGGTACAAATGATTTGCTGACAGAAACATCCACAGCTCTCACCCTAAGGAAGCTGATAGCTTAATTAATTGTCATGCTCCAAGCCCCATGGGTACAACACAGGATCTGGTGATCTGTATTGGAAACACTTACTATGGATTACAATGGAAGGCAAGGATTTACTTTCAAAAAAAAGTTTTTTATGTGTCTGAGTATTACACCTGCATGTGTATAAGTGCTCCCATGTCATGCAATACATGAGGAAAACAGAAGAGGGCACTAGAGCCCCTGGAACTGAAGTTATAGATGGTTGTTAGCTGCCATGTGGATGCTGGGATTCGAACCCAGGTCTTCTGTAAGAACAGTCAGTTCTCTTAACTGCTGAGCCATCTCTCCATCCCTCAATTTTATTATTATTATTATTATTATTATTATTATTATCATCATCCTATGTAGAGATCCAACTACCCCATCTAACTAGTGAATACAGTGGTCCTTCCTTCATGAAGCATGGAGCTACCACCGCTAACATATTCTACTTTGGGTCTAAACAACCTACATCTTCATGCAAATTCATATACAAACAAGGCCAATGAAAATAAGGTTCAAATGGTTTGCTCTTGTACATCCAACATCTCACCATGCTTCTCTGCTAAGACCTGATTGACACCACTGTGTGTTCTACTCCCAGCCACATCCCACTGTACATGTTTCACCACCAGTCGTTGTTTGTGTCCCTGTTACAATTTGAATATGTGGCTTGGTCCCTGACTGGTACTATTTCAGAAAGTTCTGGAAACTTGAAAGTAGGACCTAGCTGAAGGAAGTAGGTCACTGGGGGCAGGTCCTTGGGAGTACCTTGTCCCTGGCCTCTTCCTGGCCTGTATCTGTATCTGCTTCCTGTCTACCATGGGGTGAAGAGGCTCCTCCCCCACATGCTTCTGTCCACTGTGATATTCTGCATGGGACCAAGCAACCATGAACTGAGCCCTCTCAAACTGTGGAGCTAAATAAATCTTTCCTCCCTTGATATGTTTTCTCTGGCATTTTGATCATTGAAAGACAACCAATACATCATCTTTGTGACCCAGACCAGGGGCTTAGATACAACTGGTCCCTACTTGCCTTCAAGAGTCCAGAGGAAACACTAAGCTAATAATACGTTCAGCACAGTTGATCCCTGCTCATGTCTGCAGCAGGAAGAGGGGGTTTATATCACAAGCTGTTTCCCCGGGTCTACAACCAAGAGGCCTCACTCAAGGCTACCAAGTGCAACTGCCCATCCCCCTTCTGAATGAAAATCAGCAGGAGAGGCAGAACAGGAGTGAGAAGGTAAGGATTCCAGCTGCTCCACCTCCAAAGCCATCACTTCACTGTAATGAAGGATCATGGAAACCACATTGCTTTCGAAAAAGAACTCATCAGCTCACTCAATCACAGATGCTTGGACTTTGAGGGCCTTTTGCTTGCATGGCTTTTCCCTGTACCCACTCAAACATTCATCCCCTTGAAATTGGAAAAACCAACACTTGGGAATAAAACCCCAGCCTTCCTCACTGCTTCTGGTTGGGCCTGGCACATCAGAGCCCTCTGCATCATCTCCCCAGGAGTTTTTATATCTTATTAGTTGAATAGCTTAGAAGGTTTAGGACCCCAATCCAGAGAAACTCAGACAACTCTCCCAATTCTGGTGTGATTTTGAGGTCTTCTGGGTTGAAGGAAATCTAAGCCCTTCTTGGGAGCAGTGTCGAAGGCCCAGGTGTGAGGCCCTGGGGAAAGCTTCTGAGGCTCCGGCCAGGCTCCTGAGTCACAGCTCTCTGTTCAGCTCCCCACCACCCTACCTGTCCTTGTTAGGACACCTTTGCTCATTCCTCCTTGCCAGTGCTTGTCCAGCGGGAATTTCCAATGCTTTTAATCATCATTCATTATTCACCAGATACTTCCAAAATGCCCCTTTCTGTTTCTTCTCTCCACTGTTCTATTTCTTTGCAATTCTCTATGATAGCATGGGAAACAAATACCAAGAAAGTGATTTAAACACTAGGGAAGAACTCATTTCCTCCCAGACTTGTCAAACAGTTTCAAAGACTGACAAACACAGTTTAAACATTTTTAGATGTGTCAGAACCAGTTGTCTCCAGGCTGTGTGTAGTTTCCCATGGGGCTCGGTACCCATTTACTTTCTGTGTCCAAAGCAGCATCCAGCCAGGAACAGAGTTAAGTCTGAGCACCCTTGGGCAAGGTGCCCCAGAAGGAGCACCCAGGATGCCAAGGGAGAGAGACACAAGAGTGCATGTGAGAGTCAGCATGGCTGATCAGTCAGGGCTTGTGTGGGAGTCCAAGTTCAAAGCAAGCAATGGAGAGGAATATGATGATGATGACCATGATAGTCAAACGGTTCTGTCCCTCTTAGACGGTGTCACATTGTGGACCAACCTCCTCACTCATTGGGTTCTCCAGCCTGTGTTTCCTGCTTTGTGCATCAGACCCAAGTTTCTTGGGTTGAGTACCAGGCAAATGAGTGGTTTGCTTCAAGGGCTGGGTTTGCAAAATGCACCTCATTACTGGGGATGCTCACCCAGAGGATGGGATGCCCACACTAAGAGAGCCAGGGGAGTAACCCCAAAAGAATACTCTCATCATTTCAGTGACTTTTCCCACCTTCATTCCCCACAGAGAGCAACAATTTGATGTGACCTTGACCATCTGCCTGCTCACCAGACTCTATGAGACTCAGCAACCTGAGGGCACCAAGCAAGATTAATGTGCCATCAGGGAGAGCTTCATAGAAGAGTCACGACCTCTGATGCTCTCAGGAAGCAATCAGGAGATAGTAAAGTTGGTGTCAGGAAGGACAGATGGAAGTGCCCACTGGTGCAGACACAGAGGAGTGAGGATTGGGGCTTCTTTGTTGTTGCCCATGGAAGCAGAGGAGGTGGGAGACAAGAGTGTGGAGTTGGCTATGGAGTTTGGGCTTCACGCATCAGTACCAGCTTGTCTCCACAGCTGTGTGTTGAGGTTACAAAGTGCAGATTTAGAAATGGGTTGTTTAGGGTTGATTCCTAGCTCTGCTGTTTGCCAGCTGTGTCTGCTCGGGCAAACTGCTTAATTTCTCTATAAACAGGGATAAAAATGGAATTCTTGTGAGGCCTGAATCAGTGAAACACTCATAAAGCACTTGGGATGGTTCAGGGAGTTGATCAATAGTCACTGCTATTATTGTAGATAATATTAACTATACAACCTTCCACTGCCAGTGCTAGTGAGGGTGCCAGGGAACAGTGCTCAGGACAGTCTATCAACACCAGCCTGTAGGAGCCTAGAGCCCACAGTCCTGGCTGGTGGGACCGGGCCTGGGTGAGGCCAGATCAGCAACTTCAGGGCAAACTCCTAGCATACTGTCACTCTGAGGCTGTGCAAGTGGGAACAAAACCTTACATTCTGCCAGCCTCACCTGGGCCTAGCCCTACCCTGCCCTGCCCTGCTCACTGGCTGTGAAGGTCCTCCCATAATGTTGACTCATGTGACTTTAGTATTCCCAGAGACTCTGAGACATGACCTCACTTCCCCAAGTGTGTTGAGCTCTGGAGGCAGCTGGACAGCCCTACCTACCCACCCCACTTAGGGACCACACTGAGCTGCCTCATGTAAGCTGTCAAGTTACCCAGCAGAGTCAGGAGGCTGCTGCCATTCTTAACAAGTGAATGAATGATACCAAGGGGCTAGGTTCACGGTCAGCACAACCCATTCCAACAAGGTCTGTCCTGAGAGGTGATGGCAGACTGTCATATCACCAAACTCAGAGTGTTAATAATCCCTCAAGTGGAAGTGTAAATTCCACCCTCAACAGGACTACAGATCTGCCACCTGGAAAGAGTTAATTTCCACATTCACACAAGGATGAACTGCAGCCCATTTGCCATTTCAGAGACTGAGGGGGTCTCCCTAGGACCGGAGGCCCAGGCCGGCCTCAA